TGGAGCCATTTTTGTTTACTGAGAGATGCGAGAGATATGAGAATAATTTTGGGAAAAACTAGCTCGATTCATTTTACCTTACCTAGATTGCTGCGTTGGCCAAGGCCTTTGTTTGCAAGAGTAGAAAGCCCAATGCAGTTAAGGCATAGGGAATTCGGTGACTCACATGACTGGGCAGAGTTGCACCTGGGTTCAGGCAGTGGTTGGATCCAGGTGCTGCAATAGTGTCATTATGGTTTTTATTGCATACTTCCTATTAGGCTTCATTCCTTAGGTAGGCTTCCTTCATGTGGCAGATGGAATGGCCCCTGGGACCTCCTAAGCTGACATCCTCCCAATTTTGCTATGTCAGTGAAAACAGAAGCCATCTCTTCTATGAGCTGTAGCACAGAAGTGCTTGTAGTCCTTTCTGAGTGGCCCAGCTTGTCATGACTGACCCTGAGCCAATCATTGTGGTCAAAATGGTGGGGTACTTTGTACAGCTTGGGTCACGTGCCCCATTCCTGTGTTTAGGAAGGGGAGACCTGTGATAGTCCTACCAAGACCTCGTGGTATGCACATTAGTTACAACCAGTCTCAATTGACATTGGTCTATTTCTTTTGTTACAATATAAAGTTAGCTGAGATTTGAACACATTTGTCTGATTCACAGTGCATAATTTTCATAGTTGTAAAGAGTGTATTGCAGAGTAACAGGAACAAAAATAAGCCAGGGATTTAGCTCAGTGGCACTGCGCCAACCTTGCAAGTGCAAGGTCCTGAGTTTGATCCCCAGTACCGTCAAAAAAAAAAAAAAAAAAGCCTGGGTGGAACCACTCTATTCTTTGAGTTTCTTTGAGTGATATGGATGGAAAGATGGGAATCCAGCAAATGAAGAGGAGAGAGAGTTCATCAGGAAAATTTGAGGCCCCCTGAAAGTCCTGAAAAGGAATTGCTTTGTGTCTGAATATAGTACTGGAGTTATCAGTCATTGTACTCAAATACATTTTCTTTCTCCCCAGAAAATGCTTTTTTTTTTTTTTTCCTTTTTGGAACCCAGGATGAAACCCAGGACCTGGTGTATGCCAGGCAAGTGCTCTACTACTGAGCTACCCCATCTCTTGTGTTTTTTTTCTTAATATTTTAGCATACTTACAGATTTACTTGCAGTTGTGAAAGTTATGCTAAGATCCTTGTATACTTTATCCAGGTCCCTCTGTGGTAACATCTGGTAAAACTGTGTTACAGTATCACCAGCAGGACAGGGGCAGTGACATATCTGTCCATGGTACAGACTATTTCCATGGCACAAAGATCTCTCATGTTGCCATTTATAGTTGTCCTTCCCGCCCTGTCTTTTTTTAATTCCCTGGCAACCACTGTTCTGTTTTCCATTTCTATAATTTTGTCCTCTCAAGTGAGCTGTATAAAGGAAGCCATACAGTGTGTAATCTTTTGGGATTGATGACTCAACATGATTTCTCTTGAGTTGCATCCAGGTTGTTGCAGGTCTTTGTTTTTATTGCTCGGTCATATTCTGTGGTGTATGTGTACTGAACTTGCTTGACCACTCTTCTTTGTAGGACATGAGTTTTTGGCTATTACAAAGAAATGTGATAACGTCTATATTCAGGCTTTTAAGTGAATATAAATTTTTACTATTCTTGGATAAAATGTCCAGGGATACAGCTGCTGGTTTGTATCATAGTTGCATGATTAGGTCTTTAAGAAAATGCCAAATTGTTTTGCAGAGTGGCTGTACCATTTTACATTTCTACCAGGACTGTATGAGTGATCTAATTTCTTTGCATCCTTGCCCATGTCTGCTGTTTTCACTGCTTTTCATTTTAGACATTCTAATGTAGAGATGCAGGTATGTCATGATACCGTGTTGTGGTTTTGGTTTCCGTGTCCTTGGTGGGTAATGTTGAATCTCTTCTCATGTGGTTATTTGCTCTCTGTATATCCTCTTGGTGAAATTTCTTTTATGTGTTTGTCCATTTTCTAATTACTACTTATTGCAGGTGTGTTTTGAGTTCTAGAAACTAGTCCTTTGTTGGCTGTGTGATTTGCAAATACTCTTCTACACTATAACTTGACTTTCCATCTTCTTACAGGGCCCTTATCAAAGCAGAAGTTTTAAATTTTGATGATATCTGACTTAACAGTTTTTCTTTTTAAGGACTGAACTTCTGTTGTCAAGTATAAGAGCTCTTTACCTAGCCCGCAGAAGATTTTCCTCCTGTCATTCCCCCCTGCTAATTTTGCATTTAAGTCCATGATTTATTTTGAATTAATTTTTGTATAAGGTACAAATTCAGGCCATTGTTCTGTCTTTTTGCCTGGAAATACTTAATTGCTCTAGTGCTAATTATTGAAAAAGCATTTTCCTCTGTGGAATTGAAGTACTTTTATACTTTTGTGAAAGATGAGTTGGGCATATGTATGTGGGTCTCTTTCTGCGTGTTCTGTTCTTTTGGTCTTTGTTTCTGTCCCTCCATCAGTAGCACAATCTTTGTTAGAGTAGCTATCCAATGAGTTAAAATTGGGCAGACCAATTCCTTCTATACTTCTTTTCCAAATTATTTTAGAAATATTGGTTGCTTTAGTTTTCCATATAAGTATTTTTCATGTTTGCAGAAACATTTTGCTAGAACTTTGAGAGGGATTATTCTAAACCTCTGTCAGTTTGATATTAATATTGTGGGGCTTCTTTACTGGTTTGTCAGTTGGTTTGAAGGTTCAAAGACCCTACTTGGTCTTCTCTGACTTTACCCCATGGGGGTACTTTGGGGCACCTCATAGGGTGGAAGTCAAGATTCCTCACTCTCTGTTGGACCTTGTGGCTTGCCTGGGTGGTATTATAGTTTGTGTTTGGCTGGAGTAGAACTGTCATATCTAACAGTTTTAATTTTTGTGTTTTTTTTTTTTAAACCAAGGATTGAACTCAGGTCCTTGCGCTTATGAGGCAGTAGCAGCACCACTGAGCTAAATCCCCAGCCCTTTCTAACAGTTTTTTATTTTGATAGCTGGGGATTTAGCTCAGTGGTTCCACCACCTGCCTGGAAACTGCAAGAGCTGAGTTTGATTCCTGGTACCAAAAAATAAAATAAAATAAAATAAAATAAAATAAAATAAAATAAAATAAAATAAAATCTATTTTGCTAAGCTGCCCTTTTCTTAGTTCATTTATAGGAAAGACACCTTTTTTGGGGAGTTGGGAGATTCTTTTGTTGGTATCTGTTGGCATTTCTGGATTGCTGGCTTCTTCAGCTCCAAATTTGGGATACAGGAGGTAAAAGAAAACCCAAGGAACTCATGACCATGTTCCTTGGGGCCTGAGGTTCCTACCGTGTCTGCCTTCTTTTCTCCATCTTTTGAAGTCATCTTACTTGTTTTATAGCTAATGTCCAGAGTTCCCCTATCCTCCCTCAATGTCTGCTGTTCTTTGTGGGAGGGATAGAGAAAAGTATATCTAACTTTATGCAAGCTGTGTCCCCATTTTCTTTTTTTCTTCTTCTTCTTCTTTTTTTTGGTTCTTGGAGATAGGGTTTCACTATGTAGACTGACCTGGAACTCACTGTGTAGCCCAGGCTGGTCTTGAACTTACCACCATGCCTGGTTTTCCATTTTTCTTTTTTAATTATTAAAGTTTTAGCCAGGTATAGTGGCGTACCCCTTTAATCCTAGCACTTGAAAGGCTGAGGCAGCAGGATTGCTGTGAGTTCAAGGCCAGCCTGGGCTACATATTAAGTTGAAGGCCAACTGAGTATATATAGTGAGACCTTCTCTCAAAAAAATTATAAAAATGTTAAACATTTAGGAAAGTATAGGATAATGAATATTAGTTACGTATTTCCTAGATTTAAGAGTTGTAAATATTTTTTCCTGTGTCTTAATCTTTGTTTTCTGAGTTTTACATTATAGACATAATATTTTCATGTGTTAATTTCAGTATGCATCTCTAAAAATAAAATTTTTGAACATAAGGACAGTATTTTATCTATATTGATTTATAATAAGGTCCTCATGTTATCTAATACTTAATTCATATCCTGATTTTCTTCTAGTTATTTCCAAAATGTATCATAGGTAGTTGATAAAATAAGATCCAGTCAAGAACAATAATTGCATTAATTATTAACATTTTTACATTTTGACATTTTTAACATTTTAACTTTTGTTTTTTGAGACAGGATCTCACTATGTAGTTGAGCCTGACCTTGAACTCACTATGTAGCCCAGGCTGGTCTCTAACTCATAGTGATCCTCCTGCCTCAGCCTCCCCAGCTCTGGGATTACAGGCTTGCGTCACCACACCCGGCTACATTTTAACGTTTTTAACATTTTAACATTTTTGTTAATTATTTATCAAGAGAAACTGTTCTTTAACTCACATAGTCATCTTTTATAGTTCAGGAGCACAGGTCAGTGACAAACTTCTGCAGAACTCAGTCTGAAAAAATTTTTTACATTCCACAATCACTGTGTCTTGAAATATACCAGTTATCTTTATCTCCTCAAAATTTCTAATGGAATCATAATTTCTGTAGAAATCTGTATTTGCTGTCTTTCTTGATTTCAGCCACTGCAAGAGAGTAGAAAGCTGCCAGCCCCAAGGAGACACGGAATGCTCCAGCAGTATGGAATTGCAGATGCTTGGCCAGCAGCATCTGAAGTTTGGTCAGAGTGCTGGTAGTTGAGTGCCTTCAGCTCCAGTGTCCTTCCTAGCTGATGGAGATCTGTTAGGAGTTTTAAGCTTCCTTTGATCTTGAGAAAGTTCTGTTTCCTTTTTTCTCCATGGTATTGATTTGTTGAAGAAATAGTTCAGTTGAATGTTGGAATGTTTTCCTATCAATAAGACTTGTCTAGATGTGTTTGTTTATCTCCTGCATTTTGTGTAAATTAGAAGTTAGATTTTAAAGCTTTGATTAGATTCAAGTTTGAGAATTTTTTCATAGGTGATGCTATGTTAAGCAGATTGTCAGAAGCTTGTGTTATTTTGATTTGTTTAATGATAGAGAAGATGCCTTCTGCATCCTGTGAAATGCTACTGGATGACATAGAAGATATTGTGTCACAGGAAGATTCAAAGCCACAAGATAGACATTTTGCAAGAAGGCATGTTGTTCCAAAGGTTCGAAGAAGAAATACCCAAACATATTTGCAAGAGGAAAGCAGCCCACCAAGTGATAGGTAAGCTTTTTTCCTTGAAATTACTCAGTTTTTCATTCCAAAAGATAATTTAGTCTGCTACCCATAATGTTTCTTAGAATCTTTGATCTTTTGATAGGAAGCATAGATTTTATTTATTTGAGTGATTTTAAGTTTGGCAAGGTAATAATTGGTTAGAGAAAGATGTCAAATTGGACAGGGCCTAGGACAGTAGGAATTTCTTTACTCTTACTGTGGTTGTATGCAATTCTGTATTACTTCCAAATTGAAATTGCAGATATGATTCTTATGAGACCGTGGTGTTTTGAATAATCGATTTTTTTTTTCTTGGTGTTGGTGGTTGTGGGGATTAAACCCACTGAGCTACACCTCCAGCTGTTTATAGTTTTTTTAAAATTTTGACATAGAGTCTCATTAGATTGCCCAGGCTGGACTTGAACTTGTGATTTTCTTGCCTAAGCCTCCCAAGTAGTTGGTGTGTGTCACTGTGCCTGGTGTGACACTTGATTATTCTTAAGAAATTTGTGAGTACTTAAGGGCCAGCTAAAGGAATTGGATATAAAAGTTATTGTCCTGTTAACTGAATATGGTGGTACATACCTGTAATCCCAGTACTTGGGAGGCTGAGGCAGGAGTAAAATCTACATAGTCAGACATTGTCTCAAAAAAAAAAATTGTCCTGTTTACACTATTCTGGTAGGACACTAGTCCATTAAATTATTTTTTGTTGTTTTAAAGTTTTTATTTTAGTGCATGTTGGTAATTCATAATAATCATCATGGGGTGTTGGTACATGTGCATGTCACATTTTAATCCTTTTTATTCCCCTTCTCCCCCCTTCATCCTCAGATCCTTTCTCCATTTGTATAAAGTCTACAGTTTCCTATCATCTATCTTTTCTTTTGCTCTTTAAATATTTATACTTTGGATTTCTTATATAATAGAAACCATGTGATACTTAAGTGTGTCTGATTTATTTCATTTAGCCTTATGGTCTCAAGATGTATCCATGTTCTTATAAATGTCTATAGTCAATGCAATTTTAATATAGCATCGCTAGAAAGGATTATGTTGTACAATTTTAATAAACCTAACCTATAATTTTTAATCTAATATGTTGTTGAAAGTTTTAATGCACGTAATTATTTTGTTTGGAACATTAAGCTTTAAAATCTATGAATTTAAATTTTGCTTCTATTTTAATGACTAGAAAGGATTTAGCTCATTTGCCTAGCATGGAGGAGTCACTGGGTTCAGCCCGTCGTACCGCAAAAAAACCTGCCAAAGCAAATATTTTAGTGATTGGAGTTTATTAAACTTGTCTTAAACAAGTTCTTGAGTAATTTCTTTTATCCTACAAGTTATTAAGAGCAATCTAACTTGAGAATCTTTTTTCTTTTTAAAGATATTACATTTTTTGAAGTATTTTTGTAGATGGAATACTTTTTATTAATGATGTAGGTCACAATTTTAAATTTTGGAGTTATGTATATCTATCAATTTTAAACTAGATAGAGATTGCAGGTACTTTATAGGATTCTATAAATGGAAAGACACTTAATTTTTCCCAGTTCGCTCTTACTGCTAGAACCATTTTCTGTGGTAGTGGTACTGTTATACCTTCTTTCCTTTTTTTTTTTTTTTTTTAGGTATTGGGGATGGAACCTTGGGCTTCACTAATGCTAAGTGCTCTCCCACTGAGCTACATCCCCAGCCCTTTTTATTTTGAAAAGTCCTCCTGCCTCATCCTCCTGAGAAGATGAGATTATAAGTGCATACCACCGTGCTTGGCTGCAAGAATTGTTCCAGAAATTGAATTAGTAGTAGCATGGTTAATAGTAGTAATTAAAAATACAATTCAGAAGAAATGAGATTTTTTAAAAACAGAGATTCTTTAAATAATGTGGTTATTTTATCTTTATGTTAGGCTTTTGATGTAATAGCAGATTTTGAATTAAATTGGTGCATTTAGGGAATGGTTGTGAATTGACTATAGTCTGTTTTTCATGTAATGTGTCTTGCAAGCATCTACTGGCTTTTATTTTAGAAATCATTTAGTGAGACTTACTCTTTATATTGATTACTCAACAGCACTATTCCAGGCATACAGAAAATTTGGATACGAACATGGGGTTGTTCACATAATAATTCAGATGGAGAATATATGGCTGGACAGCTAGCTGCTTATGGCTATACAATTACAGGTAATGAGATCTTGCATATATCTTATTAATTTTTTTTTTTTTAGAATTACAGGTTTTAGAAATAATTTAGCTTGGACAATTCAAGGATATTTAGCATGATGTAATGATTTTAAAGCAAAGCAATGATAAATACGGTTTAGTACCTAGATAAGTATGGGTGTCATATTTTTAAATAACTTTTAAAACTTTTTACTTTGAAATATTTTAGACTTTCAGAAGAGTGGTAAAGCTTCAGAGTTTACATATGCCCCTCACCCATCTTTTCCTAATATTAACATCTTACATAAGTATAATTAACCAGAAAATTAAAGTTAGTGTAGTAGTGCTATCTAAACTCTATATCTTATTTGGTTTTTATTAGTTTTTTCTTTAACTTCATTTTTCTGTGCCAGGATCCAGTCTTGTATCTCATCTTACATTTGGTTGTCATATCACCCTAGTCTTTTTGAATCTGTGACACTTTCTAAATTTTTCTTTTATTACCTCAACACTCCTAAAGAAAACTGACATATTTACAGAGCGTCCCTTAACTTGGGTTTGTCTGATGTCTTCTCATGAAATTAGGTTGTGTATTTCTGGTAAGGAGGGTACAGAAGTGGTCTTGGTGGTGCATCCCACTGGGGTTATGATGTACTAACCTGTGTCCCCAGGTTTCTTTCCAATAATGTTCCTATTTTTCTCATAGGAAATAAATCTGCTTTTCTTCAACCTTTTGCCTACTTAGTAATTTTAGTAGCTACAGTGGTTCTTGACTGCAGTAATTCTTATTGTAGTATTTGCTTAATGGTGATTTTCTCTTTTCTTCTACACTTACTAATTGGAGTTCTTCTGTAAGGAAGAGCTCTCCTTTCTTCTCAGATACTTCAGGTGTTTATATCAGTACAGACTCAAGGATATTTATTCTGTGAGGTGTACTGTAATACTGTTGTTGATTTTGCCTATATTGTCCCTATTTGTGCCATTAGGTCCTCTTGTAGGCTGGCTCCAGTGTCTCTTGGCCACACCCCTATCTTTTTTTGAGTATTTCCTTATTTTCTGGTGGACGTTCCACACATCCGCACCCCCCTTTTCAGTGTGGTAATGGAAATAGAGCCTAGGACCTTTGCACTGAGCTACATCCATAGCCTTTCTTATTATTTTAAGTTGATATAGGGCAGTGACAGCAAACCTTTTAGAGACCAAGTGCCAGACTATAGGCCGAAACCCACTTATTTGTTGCAGAGTGCCAACACTGCCATTAAACCTGAATCCTGCGGTTCTAGTTTAGAAAGAGCAGCTCTACATTCACATCTTTTGTATTGAAAGAAAAACAATAACACACATGCCGTAGGTTCATCACCATTGATAACAGGGTCTTACTGAGTCCTTCAGTTGGTCAGGCTGAGTTTGAAGTTGCCATTCTGCCTCAGCTTCCCAGAGGATTATGGATGTGTTCTACCGCTCCTGGCTTCTGTTCTCATTGTGATATATTTCCCTCCCACACACTTGGAAGCAATCAGTTTTCCCAGGAGTTCTGATTCCTTTTCCTCAAAGAGCAGCATTTAGAAAGAGATCTGGGCAGTAGCTGTGTTTGTTCATTGCCATCATCAGGTGTCAGTGCTTCTAGGCTCTCTGGCCAGAGGTAGAAAATGTATATGCATACTGACCAGCATGTGCACACACATCTATTTCTGTATTTGCTGTGTATATATTAAATGGGAACCATAATTTGAACGCAGTGTGATAGGCCCTGATCCAGAGTTGTGCATCTGTTGCCTTGTTTAGTTTTTTAGTAGGAAATATTGGCATCCTTACTTTACAGCTGAGAAGGGAGAGGTGTGTCTCACTTTAAGTCACTAAGGCCATGGAAACACTGCTCTTGGTCACTGTTCTATCACAGTTGCCTTTGCACATCTGATTGTCAAGTCCTAGCTGCAAAGATGGCATGTAAGGATTACGGAGGACCAAAATATTATTCTTTTCATTGCATCGTTTCCTTCACTAACTCAAAGTTCATGTTACTGACTTTGCATTTTTGGGCTCTTTACTTTTTTTTTTTTTTTTTTTTTTTTTT